AGGTAACCGTGTGAAGCTCTGTCCTATTTCAGGTACATCCTTCTGGTATTCTGCTGAGCTGTCTGGAGTATCTCTGTGCCACACTGCAAATCTGTGGTACAGATGGATCTTGACTGATTTTTGTAGTGTTGGGAGTGGGATGGGAATATGTTACGCTCACTCACCACTGACCTACAAAGCATGCTGGCATTTAAGTACATATATAACTTAGAAAGTACATTAATATTCCCATTGACTGCTTAAAATTAATTACTTTGATGGTTCATAACTGTAGGCAAAATCTTTTGTAATTGTCTCATACATGTAAAGTATATATTCAGCTGCTTCAGGGAACAGGTCTTGCACTTTCAATCAGTCCAAACATGTAATGCCAAATCAATGTATCCTATTTCTGTTAAATCCTCTGTATAATGCATGACTATGGTATATTGTGATAATATATAGTAATAATACATAATATTAATATATAATTTTATAGCCTTGTAAGTCAACATTAAAATATCTGCAAAACTTAGTAAATATTATCAAGGGAGACATAAACATGAAGTGTCAAAAGTGTCAGCACAGAAAGGTTACATTGCCTCTTGGAGACACTCAAGAGCTGGATGTTTTTATCCTCCTGCTTCGTGACTAGATAAATGCTTGTTGTATGTCTGAGATGTAATTCATAGAATAATAAACATCTGGGGGTCACGTAGGCCAAGCTTCATCTCCTTGGGGATGTCAGTGTGAAGATTTTTTTTCCCTTATCTAATTGGAATTTCCCATGTTGCAGCTTGTGTCTGTAGGCTGCCTGCTGTGTACCTCTGAGAAGTCTGGCTTCATCTTTACTACATCCTCCCTTTAGAGTTCAGCAAGGTAATCTTCTCTTTTTAAGGCTGACCTAACCCTGCTCACTCACCTTCTCCTCGTACTTCATGTGCCCCAATCCCTTTTATCACCTTGGTGGTCCTTGGCCGGATCTGCTCCGCTGTATCAATGTATTTCTCGTATAGGAACGTCCAAAATTGAATACAGTATTCCACTTGCAGTCTCACAACTGCCAAACAGAAGGGAAGAAACATCTCCCTTGACCTGCTGGCCACACTCTTGCTAATACACCTTTCGCTTATCACCGCTCACATGCTAGGAGTCAATTAAACTATGTGCTACGGATGTCTCAGATGTCTTCAAACAGACATGCAAAATAATAATCCTTTTCCCCTTACTCTTATAGTGAAATACAAAATTAGTGCCATAACTCTCTACAGTGTAGATTTTCTTACATTATTAACAACTCAAAACAAAAGCCAAGCATTAGTACTCATACAGCCTCATTAAAATGCTATAAAAGTGTTCACAGACAAGAAGATTCTAGTGGTTAAATCCTGTGAACATAAACAATAATGTATTTATATAAAATCTTGTGCTTCATTACTGCCCTTACAGAGAAATCTTTTGAAAAATTGAAGCGGTAAAGGAGCTGATAATATCCTAGGTTTATGTAATGCTTCTTTTCCTTATTATAATTTCTTTGCAAGCTTCTCAAACATGCTGAAACAGGTGATGTATGTTTTCCCTGTCAGCTCTCCTCCCTAACTAAATAATTTACTTTCTAATGTAATAAATGTCGGGCGTATGCTTCCCAGGACGGATGTGTGAATCTCACATTCCATCAGGCAAGCTTTGATTATAGGGTTTTTTTAATTATGAATCTACAAGGCGGACCTGGCACAATACTGTCACGAAACTAGTATGTTAGTTATCTTGAAGTAAATCTCAAAAATTTCAGGCAAAAAACGTACTGAATTTGTATCTCCTTTATGTTCAACAGACCATGATTTACTAGTTCTCATTTCAAGATGAAATTGAGGTTGGGCAAGTATTTCCAAATGTGGGTGCCTAAATGTATCAGGCCATATATATGACATAACATAAAAGGACTACTTTTCTGGAGTGTTCACTGTGTGAAACTACTTGTTAAGGTTAAAAGGCTCTGAAAATAAGGAACCTTAAGTAAAGGCTCTGCATGACTAACATTTTTGGAAGTCAGACCACTTCTATGTAGATTTCTATGTTCAAAAATATTGGACTTGGACTTTAGAACATATTATTTTGAACAAATAAACCTGTCTCCATCATCAGTGATAAGTTCTACGGTGTGTGAAAAATGACTACCATTGATGAAAATGGGACAGATTTTACTCTCTATATTAAATCCTATGTTGTGCATTAAAAACTGAAATTACTGTAGCAGAATTCCGTACTGTGGTATGGTAACTGTTTCTTAAAATTACCACCAACTGCTAGGTGTACAAAAGATTTACTCAGCTGCTATTCAAGAACTACTATAGAATAATAGAAACTCTAGTGTATGTATATCGCTTAAAAATACTGTGTAATGTATGTATTACACTTTACTTGTACGAACAGGTTTTACTATTTAGCAACTCCTGTAACACAACAGGCCAATGAGTATCATCCTGTCATCAAACTGAAGTAGATCTGACATCTTTTCTGGCCTGGAGGGGCAACTGTTACGATCACTCTTCATGACAATTTAAATTGTATATAGTACCACCAAGGGAAAGGAAGCAGGCTTTGCCTTACCTTCTTTTATCTTTGGAAGATGTGTAGTTATAAATTGAACCAGATTTTCTCAACCGACAGAGCACTTTTAATGAAAGTTCTACCATGTCTCCGCTGTTTTTTTAATTTTGGCAGGAAGATAAACGTATTCATATTTTTCAAGATATTTCTTGCCTCTAAGCTATAAAAGCATCTGTAAGGCATTCTGTGACAAACTAGTCTTTGCTTTGAAGGGATGCTTACTGCAAAAGCAAGGACTTTTTTTTTGGCAGAGAAGAATTTGAAATAGTTTTTTCCCTTTTTGTGAGGGAAGAGAGGGGTGAAATATTCACATTTATTTATATTCATGACCATTTAAATTTTATCTGATTCTTCTTCCAGTTTGAAAGACTTCTGTTTCAAGCCAGACAAGTTTTCCTACACTGATATTTACAAAGAACCCTAAAGTATGCATCATGACTCCCCCTGTTCCCTCCCATTTTTTTAAAATACAAACAGATCATTTTTAGATATTTGGTTTGAAATATGCATGTCAGAGGTGGAAAACTTTGTTGCTTCAATGATCTGGTATGCCTAATTGTCTTTGCTGAGCACACTACTTCCATAAATACTGGTGAATATAAAATGCACATGGTGTAATGGATAGTATCACAAAATAAGATCATATCATACAGTAAAAATGACTGTACACAGAGAAGGGAAGAGGAGCACATACTCATTTTTAAGTGTCAATTTCAGCAATGGAATCCTGTTCCTGAATTTTGATATAGAAAATTTTATGTCAGATGAGCTGAACAGGTATTTATAGTCCGAAGTTCTAGGACGGATTGTCATGCTAAACAAAAATACAACCACTATATATATATTAGTGTTAGAACCAGAACAAAGAGGATGATGGGTAGAGCAACATGTTCCAGTTTTTTTTCTCAACTGACATAACGTAATAAATGACTGATCAACAGTTGCATTAACCTCTTTAGAAACCTGAAGTTCTTTCCACATTTAGCATACTGAAAAATGTAGTCTTTCTTCCTGTTCTAGTGCAGAAATTTTGGTTTATGTATTTTATGAGAGTAACTTGCAGCATATAACCAAGAAGGAAGCCTGCATGAGGTGTAGAGTGCTAAACTTTGGGCATCTAAGCAATTAGATGAGTCCACAGTCTTAAGACATTTCCATTGCTTTTCGCGTAGGGAGAATTTGGTATCCATGAAAGACATTATCCGAGTGTGTCTGAGTAGGAAGCTGCTCAGGCAGGCTACATTAGCCAAGAAGAAAATGCAGAGGATAGAAATGGGTGCTTGCAGGCATTGGTCTTGGTGTTGGCATTGGTGTCTCCTTCCAGGACTGTTTATGCATTTTGAGGTGGACAAACTTTGGTAAAAATCAACAGAGGTATTGGGAGCCACATTCAGGACTAGGTTTTTTCCTCTGCCCCACCCAAAGGCACACTTTATTGCAACGGTATGACCAGCTCCTTCTGGCGCCATGAAATTTGTATTGTTAGCTTCATGGCTGCACAACTTCAGAGGAAGACCTGAAGACCTCTTCTCCAGTCTGGAGCTAAGGCACTGTCTGGAAAAATGGCTTTGAATCAAACCAAGGAGGACAACTGGCTTCCCAGTTGCTTGGTATGGGCTCTAACTCCTAGACTATTACATAGAAAGCGCGGCAGAGGTTTTTCTGTCATGTTTGAACCAAAACAATGAAATCTGATCTGCTGTCTGATTTCAGTATAAGGTTAGGTATGCTCTAAATTCAGAAAATGGATAAGATCCCTCCGGGGACTTAGGCACAGGAAAAAGTAGTTCATGAATCCAGATGCAAAAGATGGTGGCATTCTTAGCTCTACACAGAAATTAAACCTACGCAGTCTAAAACTCTACTAACAAATTTCAGATGTGTGAACACTCAAGTAGCCTAGAATACTGTAGACTGTATTGTTGAACTAAGACACCAGTATTTCACCTGGCCTCACCTGAAGTTCCTAAGCCCTTTTGTGGATCTGCATCTATAATCGCAGACATGGTCATTGGCAAGGAACAGGTCTTCAGAGTGCTGTCTTGGCACTCAAAAAGGGTTGATTGTGATAGTTATGCAGTCTGCTTTAAAGCAGCATTTAACTTTGGTGATTTGCAGCCATGGTGCTTATAAAAATATTATTCTGATATCTCCCTCTCATCTCCATTTTCCTCTGAAATTGATAAATACTATATCATGTTCTCTATTTGTTATCTGTCATAGACCACAAAATAATCTCAAAACAACTCCAGATTTGGTATCTGTAAATCTCAAATATTCATTTTCTTTGTCTAGTTAGAAAATTGTTTTGTATACAGGAAACAATCTAACACTGAGGTAAACTTTATGAAGAAATCATAACACTAGTATGTTGCAAATGCTCCTTTAGAATAACTTGCACTGACTCATGGAAGATCTTTTGTGGATGACTGGTTCCTCATAAAACTTTGGTAACTAGGTCCCAGCTGGAACACAAGCAGCACTGCACTCTTCTTCCTGGTGATGCAGTACATCAAATCAATCCCCTAGACGCTCCAATTACAGGCTCAGTACCTGTCTGCTGGTGGTCATGGAGACAAAGTTGTGGGAACCAACATTGTAGATCAGAGTCAGTGTGAAAAAGGATATGCAAATACAAAAAGAATACATAACTAAGAATGTTTGCTAGTGCATAAGTGTCTTAGATTTCACAGCTTAATTCCTGTTTAAATTCTTGCATTGTAAGTGGGTGATTTTCTCTATCTGGTACAGTTATAGATCCTCCCTTAAAGGCTTTTTCCTGTGGCAACTGCACACTGAGTCTCTGTCATCAGGCTGAGGTACAAGTTCCATTCCATCCCGTATTTCAGGTTTGCTGGCTTGGCGTTTGGCGTATTTCTGAAATATGTAAACAGCATTTAAGAATGCTATAAGCATCAATGTATAACTCATGAAACAGAATTTTCCTCCTCCCTTCCACTCACAAGCTTGCCTTTATGCAGACTCCTTATGTCATTATTTACAACCTGTTTACAAGATGTCTTTATAACACACCTACTAATAAGCTACATTGCCTCTGAAAACCTCCTTTAAGGTTTTCCTCTGTCCTATTATCAATGGTAATTTGAATATTGTCATTATTTGTGCCTCTAACCACTTTATGCAGAAAATGCTGTCAGTTTTATACACTGAACAGTTCCAAACTTTATGTCAACTTCTGGCTGCTGAAGCTGAGATCTAACTCTGCACAGTAAAACGGGAAAAAGAAATTAGTACTTTCAGAGAACAGAAATTTCTTTCACTAGAGATTTGCATCTCCTAGGGAAGCAATGACTGCTTGGCCTGCTTCACCCCTTACCACTCTGCTAGCCATGCTTCCAGAATTTCTTTTCCATGTATTCATTGTTTTGTAATACAGCAGAGTAGCTCATGAGGGGATAAGTATGAAGGGAAGAAGGAAAAAAGTTCTGTACAGTTTATCTATCATCTCGTACATCTATTAGAAACCACATACCAAGTGACACTGAAAACAGGTCTGACTGTGGAGGTGGGGGTAAAAAAAATAAAATCTCTGATTCTGTAAAACAACTATTAAGTCAGGTTGCCTCTTTAATGATGAAGCAAGTTTTAACAAAGCTCTTCACACTGATTTCCTCTGAATAATGTGTCTGCTATTGCTATAAGACTATGAAATTTGCAGCATCAGTAGCAGTTGGGGGCAAGTAATAAAGTGATCTATTGTACTAACCTGGAGCACTTTATAATAGTAGCAGTAAAGCCTGTGAGGCTGAAGTAATTCTCTTGCCATTAACTGTCCTTCTTTAGCAATTTTTCTTGCTTCTTCATCATTTTGCTGGAAAATTTAGACGAAATGAATGAATAAAAGAGCAATCAGTGAGTTACTGAAAGCCTGGCTAACATGAGAAGTTTTATTAAAGGGGCTATTCAAATCTGCAACTTTATGTGCAATTACTGGTAGACTGCAAAGGCACACTTTAAATTGCAGATTTTTTAAAAATACCGCATTGCTTATATAGTCACAACTGGTACCTTAGGGCTATCAATAACAACTTTCATGGATAATTGTACAGTTTTGAAAACTCAGTTGATTACTGCTCTACTGTTTTGTCCAAGCCACAAGTCTCTCCCAAATCAGGCCTGACATCTATTTAGCTTTACAGAAGACAAAGCCACAGCTATTGTTCTCTCCTATGCAATGCAATTCAATGTCTTCCTTTTAAAAATAACTCTGCTTGAATTCATGTACTTAGTCTCAATTTTTTTAGGTCTGTATTTCAAAGCTTTTAGTATTCTCATCTGATTCTTTATGAAGAACTATAGTACTCTCAGAACAGAAACTTTTCCTATGTTTTTTAACGTTAAACTTAAAGCACAAATGGTGTTTTCAATCACACGATAATATCTGTTTGTTTGGTTACAGAATCCCAGCCTCTCATTCTGAGCATGTTACAAAGCAGCGACTTTTTTTGTACGTTCAAACAGAACACGCAATGACTTCTGTTCTAGTCAAGACCTAAAAAAAGTGATAGAATTAATTAAGCAGTATCTAGGATTCTGGGCGTTTCTTTGAAAATTACCTGCATTAGTCAGTAGACTCAGGCTCTGAGTCATGAAACACTTCCGCACATACCTAAAATGGATTCTTAAGTGTTTCCCTCAATAGAGATGGTTACTTGAATTGAGGCCTTCTCATCTTATACTAACAACAAAAGGTACTTCCTTTATCCCAAGATCTCAACAGAGTTAATGCAAAATACGTATTTGCAAATACCAAAAGAAGAGAGTATTAAGATAAATTGTTTACATGTTTGTTTATCACTTTGAACTTGAATTAGTAATGGAACTTACCTTAGCCCATTTTATTTTCTCCAGCAAGTCTTCTAAGTTTCTCTTAACTGGAACATAATGTTTCCAAGGTTTTAATCCAATATAAAAGTGTTCATAGTACTGGGAATCTTGCTTCAATACTAGGCTGTCACCCAGCAAGAGGTATGGAAACCTGTAAGCTGCTACGGTCCCATCTACATTCACTTGGTATTTGTACTACAATATGAAGATAGAGGAAGAAAAGGTGTAACATTTTCAATCGGAATAGGAACACTGACTGTATAAAAGTATTTTCACAGGCAAGACATAATTTTGTTGTTTAATTCTCATCTTCAAACCTGTTTTAGTGTTAAGCAGGTGTAGTTTCGTGGTGTTCTGGATAACATAATGGAAAAAGGATTTGTTTTCAACACAAGACTGACAGTCAAGGATCTTTGTGTCACATGAACTGCCTGAAGGGTATTCTGTCAAAGTGTCCTGGGATAGAGCTGGGATAGAGCTGTCCCATGGGGTAGAGTTGGGAAGGAAATAAAACTAATCTATACTTAAATTCAAGAAGAGTAAATTTACTCTGACTTAAAATCATATTATTATGTAGAATAATCTGAAACATATTATTATATAAAATAATCTCAAACATTATACTAGAAGTATACATGAAGGTACTGCTCTGGCAGATGTTCTGGCTGTTACAGCATTTCTGATATATTAATCTCTGGAACAGAACTTCAATTGCTGTATATTATAGTGGCTTTTACAGGACTCTTTCTGCTTTCTATGCCTCTGTTGCAGTGGATTTTGTGTGTGTTAAAATGTAACAAAAACACCTATCAATTTTTCTAACTTGTTACTACAAGGACTCTTTATGACATCCATAAGGTACTTGCAATAGACACAAGTTGTGTCCACTGTTTTTATATTTACCCTAAATAAAAGAAACCCTGATAGTGAGAAATCAAATTTCTCAATGTATTAAAAAAAAAATCTCCAAGAACTCTCCCTAAGGGACTCTATGAAAAGAGTATAATGGCTTTCTTTAGAAGTGCGTCACACCATCACTTTGATTACAGGTGGTCTATCTACCCCGCATGGACCAGTGTTCCCAGTCTAGCATAATTGTTTTGTTTACTGGATGGAATTAGCAAAAGTAAACCTTGTCTTTTCAGTTGGTAAGAACTTGACAGCAAAATTAATCCAAGACTGTAATTTGCTTGCTACCTTAAAGAAGTCAAAGAAGCCCATCAGCTGAACCTTTCCCAGCTCTTTTTCTTTTTCTCTGAAGAAGAAATATCCTGTTATTCCAGCATCTAGTAGTTCTGGATTTTCCTTGGATAACTTGACAAGATGGAGACGTTCTTCTCGGCTGTCTCGACCTCTAAATAAAGCTCGCTCAGTTTTGTTTTCCCAGGAGGGGCCTATGAGCATTAAGTGATAAGGTAAAGGGAAACAGTAATGAAATGTTCATGATATGTTTAGTGCAAGTAAGGAACTTGCCATGACAGTGGCATTACGCTCAGAGACATGGTAAAACAGGCACAATTTCTGGTAGTGAATCCATAATCACTTATTAATCACAGGGTTTAAACTCCCAGTTCTTCCTTGAATTTTGGGATGAGAAACTGAACCACTTATAAAAGGAAATTAGAGAATTGCTTTTCCATTCAACAATTTTATATTTAAATAACTTGAAATATCTTGACAGCTATATAAGGGATTGTAATCAAATTATGTAAGTAAAATACTAATAATTAAAGTAATTCTCCATCTAGAAGGCCTGCCACAATAACCAAAAATTCTTCAGTAAAATCCACTTCTTTTACTCACCAATTTAGTTAGGTCTTTGAGGAATCACTTAATGATGACTTACAAAGGAAAAAAATGGCTATACTGTGTCCTCAAGATACTTAGCGAGAGCCTGAAAGACTTAATCTCTGCTTACTGCCTGCTTTTAAAAACATTAAATCTGTCTTTCCTCATCCCTCTGCTGGAGATTTCCTTAAAGGACCTACTAAAGTGGAGTAGGCTCTTATTGTCTCCTAATTGGAAAAGCAGCTGTACTAATCAGTAAACACAGAGTGCTTCAAACGGTTAATTTAATGAAAATACTTAATTTAAAGACTAATAAAGGAAAACTGTGAACTAATACCCTAATTTTACTCCTCAGGTATTGTTCATGCCATTTGCCTGATCCCTAAGTATTCATTAATTTCCTGGGGGTAATTATTCATTAACCCTAAGTATTCACTAACTTACCTGTCAGTAAAATGGACTCTTCCTTCAAAGCTAGAAAAACAATTCATAAGATCCCACTCTGAGGTATTTTTTATACAGACAATATTTTCTTATTTGAAAGAGGCTGCAGCATAGTACTAGTTCACTTCTTTCAGGATTCAAATTTGGTTTTATATGAACAGAACATTGGGCCACATCACTGTCAGGAAAAGGATTACTATTTGATTAGAAGGAACACATTCAAGTCCTTCACTGAGGAGAGAGGCCTTTTAATTATATTTACTTTTCTTTTGACAGGTCACAGTAGCTATTTTCTGGATACCTTTAAGTTACAATTCACCATTATTGTAAACTGGACTTAAATTTTGGCTCTAAATCCATATTAAACACTTGCTTAGTAGCAGTGTTGAAAGTGTATACCATCTGCAAAGACTAGCCCGCTTGTATTAGGAGACCTCCTAAGGCACTTGTAAACTGAAGACTTTAACACATTATTAGAATGCAACTTGTTTCTTTGCTGGAATTCACAAATTAATTTTTTTAATCCACAATCTCTAATTTACCTGTATTTCCTTGAATAGAAAGGAGATCATTTGTGACTCCACGTAGGGTTTCAAGAGTCGAGTGGGTTACATCATACGTTGGAAGGACTATATCTCTTGAATCCACAGAGCCACACCATGAAATGACAGGTATAGGACCAGGTGTATCATTAGCTTTCCGATATTCAACTGGCCAATCTCCAACATTAAGATAAAATTCCACATCAGGAAGATGAACCTAAATGTATACCCAAGAAAGGTTAATAACACCAAGATAGAAGCTGTTTGTCACTCATATATATTCCTCCGTTCTCTTAGGTCATACAGAATCAACAAACCTACTAGATAGTTAATAGATTTAGCTGAGCTTAAGGTATAAAGGTCAAGTTTCTGCCCGGCAAGCAGGTATGAAAGGAACACTCACAGAGGCCAGGAAAAGGCTCGCAGAGTCAGGCCTTAGCCCCTGCAGCTTTCCTAGCAATTTCACTACTGTCAAGCTCAGCCCTGACACATTATCCCTAAGATACACTGTCATCTTGATGAAAAAACAGAAGTCAAATCTTACTTCAGGAATTACAAATCTGAAGATACAACAACAAATGCAGTATTGCCATATTAGAACGTGACTTAATAGTCTTACATGATCAAAATGGATACCTTTCTTGCCAGTGACAGGAATATTTCATCAGAGAACATTTTGAAGTCTGTATACTTCCCTAAGGAGCGCCGGTAGATGTGATTATTGAGAATAGTATAATGAACAATAGCACCTCTTGTTCCACTGAACTTTGTTGGGATTTCCTTAAGCATTTGCTGCAGGTCAATGGTGGGAAAAGAAATGAAGTCCTTTGTAATCTGAGGTTCTTGGGAGGGACAAGACATAACGTTCTGCCAGATCTCAGGATCTTCTTCAGGACAGTCACAATATTCATGATAAACTGGTCCTGCAGAAAACAAAGCACTGAGAGTCTATATTTGTGATTCTACATCAGTCCTCAAACACATGGGCATATAAATGTGGATATTACAGTGGCTTGACGTTTTTTATTCCAAATTTTCTAAAGTTTTTCTGGGAAATCATCCTCCCTATAACATTTCCGTGGTTTAGCAGTGTAACTGAGAAAACAGCAACATTCTTCTCTTTTCAGAAATCAAAATACTAGATTTTTTGTTAGCAGGGTAAAATCTGTCTGCAAAATGAAGCTCCATTATTGTGCTACCTGCCAACCACATAGGGTATTCAGAATTGTTCTAACTGTCCATAACTACCAAAGCTCAGATATTACAGTTGCAATTTTAGCCTAATTCAGGACTTTGATACAGTAGTCTTCACCTCTGGCATAAGGTGTTTTCTCTTACGTATAATCAACTATTCTTTCTGTCCTTTTGAAGCAGAGAGCTTAGGTATAAGCAAGAGCCTTGTACAGCATGAAAAAAAGCCCTTATTTCATGGACTTCTAATCAAAACAGGTTCTGTCCTGTGTCATAGTTTCATGGCTGCTGGCAAATGTGCACCAGCAAAAAGAAGGCATACTTCTACCTTGAGGACTCAGGACAGCTGCATTTCAGTTTGAAGACATTTCTAAGTTTATATTTAGGAAATTTTATTAAAAAAAAAAAAGAATAAATTCTGGTTAGAAGAAGTAGCGGTGAACTGAAACAAGACTCTCCAGAAAAGTAACTTTATATTATCTTTTTTCTTTGCTAAACAGCTGTCCATTTGAGAGCAAGAGAAGGAAGTTAAAGAAGCAGATCTGGAATGAGAGAATAATTTGCCTTGTTTTGCCTGCTTTTGAATAGTTCTTCCATAGTAAGACTTGTACTGAATTAAACTGGGCTAACAGAAAGCAAGTTAAATATGGTCTGGTTAAAGAAATATTGTCTTTGTTGTTATGAAGGACTACACTTTTTAGAAATCAGACATTTGAATTTGGGAACAACACAAACTCCTTGCTTTTGCAGGTAATAGTTTCTATTTTAGATAAAAATAATACAATGTTGAAGTGAATACCTGCTTGAAAACAGTACAAGTACAGGCATTGCTCTTATTCCCTACAAAATCTGAAGAGATCTATTTTCTTATGCAAGAGGGAAGAGGAGATGTCTAGACACATCACCTTAACATCAGAGGTCATAATCTACATGCATATGCATCTACGTCCTGCAACTTGGCAACATATAGAGATTGTCACTGCTTACTTCTCTGTATAAGGAGAAAGTTTGTGAGGAGACTACATGAACAAGGGCAAACAAGCCTCCGATTTCCCACCTCTTCCTCTAGCAGTAAATTAGCCCATAGCATTTCTGTAGCTACCATCATATGTTACATTAAATCAAAAAAATATGCTTACCTTTCAAAATATAAGGAGACTGAGCTACATGCTGATCACCGTAAAGTATCTCAATCTTTAACCCTTTTCTGACACTCCCATACATTCGATACCGGATAAGAAATGTGCCATCATTTCTATCCAAAGGGCGAGGGGTGTAAATTCTGGCGACTTCTTTGGGAGAAAGTGCTTTAATTACCACTTTAAACTGTGTTCTTCCTGAAAAGAGGAAAATAAAAACAGATAAAAGCACTTTAAGGTATTAGAATCACATATAGGAAATAAAGGTGAGAGTAAACTCTACTGGATTAGGTCCATGGAATTTAATTTAACTTTGCAGTAGAAATTTTTTTATTATACCAAGTTGGTAAAAATAATTTCCAGTGATGGAAGATCATCCTACCACATTTTCTTGATCATCACATACCTAATAAATGGAAAACCTGTAGATGGAGATAAAAAGTTAAATAATGATTACAAGATAGAAGAAAAGGCTGACAGTATTTTGAAGCAAAGATTAGGTTTAATACTAAGTTTTCTAGTTTGTGCCCTGAGGAACAATTATTTCCTCTAGAGTAAGAAAGATAGGAAACGAAGGTAAAATAACAGGAGAGAAGAATACTTGCCAGCTTGTGGAAAGGCAGTTGCAGCATGCAGGAGTCAGATACAAATTGTTCACCTTTGGGCTGCAGCTGACTGTCTTGATAATTTAAAGTCCCAGCTACTGAAAAGTAGGGATAAGAAAATGATAGTAGAGATGTTACCTGGACATCTGTCTGACCTGTGCTTAAAGATCACCTGCATTTCATAATGCATTCACACATCACCTGCATTAATGCACTGTGACTTTTTAACCGGGCATGGAATATTTTGTGGACAACACGAGTATGCATAAACATAAATCTGTTATATTCCCTTATTTCTGTCACAAATGCTCATCGTCAACTTTATTCTTCAAAAAAGAGGGGGACAGATTATTCACAGAATGCTATAGTTTAAGCATTGCAAACCAAACAAATGTAATGAATGTTACCGCAAAGTAGTATGCATAAATAAATGAAAATGAAAAAATCCAGATAAAATCAAGATGTTACTAAAATTCGAATGTGTCCCAACAGCACTAAATGATTGAGATGTACAGTTAATTCTATACAATCCATATTTTAACATACTTTGCATTCACAAATAAACACACTGATGTGGTAAGTGTAACAGTTGTTTAACAATCCATCATGTCTTCCTTAGAGCACTGGATCTGGAAACGGGATTCAAGTCAACTACTGTGCAAGTGTCTCCAGATTAAATGAGGCAGAAACCTTATGATTTCAGATATGTACTTCCTGATATGTCATGTCTCTTCACAGAGAGAACAGTTACCCTGAGGAACTCAGATTCTTCCAGATACTGTTGTCAGAGTCAATCCCTCAATCAATAAGCATATGGTCAGTGTCTGTGAGCAGAAGAATCTCTCATGGCTGAACACCCCCTCTTCTGTTTTGTTTATAAAATGCGGATTATTTGTAATCATCCCTCAGTTTTCTTACTATTCAAAGTCCATGCCAGCTAAAGATGCCAAGAAGCAAGTCAGAATACCTTCATTTGACAGCATATTGAAGAAATAAAATGAAGCAAGCATTCATTCCTTCTTGGAATGCCAGTATGGCAAGCAGCACTCCCACCAAGGAATGCAGAATATTGTCTTCAGTAGCTAGCAGATCTATCATGAGAAGCCCTCATTTGATCTAGTATCAGTCCAGAATGATTTCCAGAAGTGCACGTCTGACTTCTGAGAAGCAGAAGAATGTTAGGTTGCTCCAGGCACGTGGTACTTCCTTTTCAGAGGAACGATGAGTGGACACCTCCCTGCTTGCTTAGGTGGTAGGCTGAAGACACATTAGCAGTTACGCAGTGTGACATTTCCTCGGGCAACTGTAAGTATAGCTCAAGCAATGCTAATAGACTTAAACTCCAGAACAATTTCCATGAATGGTATATTGGTTTAGATCTAACACTGTCACAGCTTAGGATCTCTACAGCTTGGATCTATGTGAGTAGAATTGATTCAGATTGGCTCCCAACTTGAGAGCTCCTCAACTTGTTTTGATGCATCTGCAAGCAGAGTCATCATCAGAGAAGAGGCAGAGAAGTATAGTTTTGCCCCCTTCATATATTTTTGACATCTAGCTACTGATCACCTTTCAAGATGGCATAAAGTAGAAATGAAATGATAATGTAAGAATGGCTGTATGATCATAGGCCATAAATTGATCTTCAAACCAGAAGTCCACTCAGTATCTTGTACCTTACTGTCAGTAGCAGAGATGTGCAAGATAGTAAGAACAAAGAAATTACAGAGGAATACTTTTGAAATTACTGTCTTCCCTTCTAGAAATCTGCAACAAAAGGACTTGAAAAATCACAACTTGTATACACATAATTCCAATAGCCTTCAGTGAAGGTTTTCTGTGACTGCTTAATCCCCATTTAAACATTCTGGTATTTGCTGCATCAAAAGCATCCTAACACAGTTTTTTCCAAAATGTGATTACATATTACAAAGATGTTTGTTTTAAAACTTCTGCCTGATAACACAGGAATTGTAGGCATCAAACGAGGTTCTGGGAAACAATGAATTTTAGTTCCCCACTTGTTTTCTCGTCCTTGAACCAGCCTGAATCCTGTAGCCAGTTTCAAAGCTGTCCATGAGTCAGATATCCAGAACTACTCAGAGCAGTCAGGTTCTTTCCAAGTATATCCTTCAGCTCTTCTTTGCTCTGTGCAAGATTATGTTGTACCATGCAACACTTGATAATACAAACATAATGGAGAAACACAGAGTAACGGGAATCACAGAACTGTTGCATTTGGAAGTGACCTCAACATCATCTAGTCCACCCCTCCTGCTCGGGTCAGCCGGAGCAGGTTGCTCAGGACCGTGTCCTGCTGAGTTTTGAATATCTCCACAAATGGAGAGTCCACAATCTCTCTGGTTAATCTGCTCCAGTGTTTGACCACCTTCACAGTAAAAGAAAAGTTTTCTTTCAGTTCAGGCTGAATTTCATATGACTTCTTCCAGTCTTCAGGAACCTCTCCCATTTGCCGTGATCTTTCAAAGATGATCAAAAGTGGCCTCACAATGACGTCAGCCAGCTCCCTGAGCACGGGTGGGTGAATGCCATCAGGCACCACAGACTGAGGTATGTCCAGATTTTTAAGTGTTCCCTAACCCGATCCTCTTCCACCAAGGGTAAGTCTTCCTTGTGCCAGACTTTCCCTCTGGTCTCAGGGGCCTGGGATTCCTGAAGACTGCTCTTACCAGTAAAGACAAAAGCAAAGGCGGCATTTCGGTACCTTGACCTTTTCTGTGTCATTTGTCACCAGGTCCCTTGCCCCATTCAGCCGCAGGCTCACGTTTTCCCTAGACTCCTGTTGCTGTTGATGTACTTGTAGAATCCTTTCTTGTTGCCCTTCACATCCCTCAGCAGATTCAACTCCAGATCAGCTTTGGCTTTCCTAACCCTATCCCTGCACAGACAGCCAGCATCTCTATATTCCTCCTGGGTCACCTGCCCCTGCTTCCACCTCTTGTACACTTCCTTCTTCTGTCTGTGTTTAGTCAGAAGCTCCTTGTTCATCCTCACAGGCCTCCTGCCATTGTTCATTTCGTTCTGGTAGGGGTGGACCATTCTTGAGCTAGTAGAGGCAACCCCTGAATATCAGGCTGCTGAGAAGGCAACAGGGAAGGACTTCCTCTTCAGAAGAAAAGGACTATTTTAATGTTTGTTCTTCACAATGATTCTGATAGAATTACACTTCTCTTGGATTTGGATTACAGAAAAAATGAATACATGCCGACTAGGATGACACTGCACATGCTTGAGCCCCTGTGGTTAAGACTTGGGAACAGTTTTATTAAATGAGAAAGACAACATAGCCAGGTCTAAGACAGTTGGGACAGCATTTTATTAATTCCCTCTTGTGTGAGCCATATTTTTAAGACCAAAGTATCTGCTTTTCACTTTAACAGAATGAAGAGACTTCAGAGACTCTGAAGATTCTAATCTAGTGCCAGCACACACATGAAGACTGTGGTAAGTCTTTTGAAAGGCTCGAGAAGAAAATGTCAGGGAGTTGGTTTCTCATGAATGGTCTTCTGCATGAGGACACTGTGGAGCTGTAGTCCAAATAAGAGGAAAGACACATTTCTCCAAAGGTGAGTAACAATTTCTGTTCCTCATTCAGCTAAATACTGCCAGAGGTCTTAATGCAGGAGTGAGTCCCCTCCTTCTGAATTTGGCAACGGATTCTATGAATGACTCTGCTGAAGGAATGGACATCTCTGCCTCTAAATGTCACTGCCGGTTACAACCACCCTTTTCAACTTGCTTAAAAGCAGCCGACTTGACTTAAGCCAAGTATCCTCTCCCTATGACTACCACCTAGTAGTACTTGGATGAAGAAGCCTTCAAATCTAGAGCATGTCATGAGGCAGGATTGCAGAGAAAAGTTTTCTGATAGTATTACATCTTTGCCTCTTTCTACCCATTTTATAAAACAGCATTTTAACTGGGTATACCGATTTCCTACCAAAGAAAACAAAGTTTGCAGTTATCATAAAAATCAGTGAATATTGAGAAATCACAAGTCAAATACTACTGAATTTGATCTCCTTGTCCTCACCTACAGGAAATAACTACACAGGTCTTTGTTCCTTGTTCCCCACTCATTATGTACTTACCGCTCTAGAGACATGAGGAGCTCCAGATCTACCCAAAGGGTATGTTAATTTTAGTTGGTGGCAGCTGAGATGCTGGAAGCATTTGATAAAAGCAGAGTGACCTGATAACAAAGATCTCCAGGAAAAAGTTAACCCCACTCAAAGGGAGGGGGAACAAAAGGGAGACTGAATATTTAATCTAAGTAGAAATTATGCACTGGAGGCGACAGGATTTTTGTTTATGATTTACAACATTCATTGCGTAACGAGGCCAAGGCCTCTAAGTACTACTGTAGTATTTAATTATAACAGCTTTTTGCTGATTTTTTTTTTAATTGGAGGAAGGTTACCATGGTACTTCCACTCACATTTTTCTGTTTCTCTCAATCCAAAGAAACGATAAAAGAAAAATGTGTCCTTGTTGAATCATCACCACTAGTACTTCTCTGTTACCCTCAAAAACGTGTCTGGGACAGCATTATAAGTACAAAATAATTTTCCAGTCTTGAAGAGAGACTAAAATATCTGGGATACTTTAAGAAATCCAGATGATGAAACTTGCTTTATGCATTTTTTTTTTTCTCTTGTGTAGCCTGCAGAAGAGGTATTCCATGCATGGATGAATGAGTGAAGAAATGCAGGGATGAAAAGACAGAAAAGGTAACAAGGTGGTGATTTATACAAATTGTTAGAGAAGAACAAAAAACCAAGTCACCCTATTGCTGACATGTCTGCAGAAGAGAAATTAAAAGATATGAAAAGGAGGTTTTTTTCCTCAACTGTTTTACTGGAATCATTGCTGGTTGCTTTCGCAGATGGAAATTGCAAAATCAATAGCGTCAATGAAGAGGCAGCTGACCAAAACAGGTTCACTTAGCTAAATGGGCTCCTTCGAACAGCATATACCTTCACAGGGTGGATGTGAGGGCATATATCCAGGAGCAAAGAAATACACGACGTGGTAGGAAGTTGTGTGTGACCATCACAAAAGCCAGGCATCGTGGTCAACAAAAGACCTGAAGGGAGGTCCTGCAGTAGACGAGTGTAACTGAGATGCGCTCTATTTAGCTACACTGAAATGAGTGCTGGAAGAAGTGTGCCTCTTCTCTTTGAACGTATTTGGTAAAACCTGCAAGAATACCTGGGAGGCCTTGAAAATATTTGTTAGCAGAGTACATGGATCATCTGAAGAGCACTTAACAGCTGACTTTGTCATGGTCAATTGTACATAAACACATGGTGGCCAGTTGTTAAACCTAGGGGAAAATGTAGCAGAAAAGAAGGATAAGGTGATCCAAGCATCCAAAGAAAAAAATCTATGCAGTTTATATTAAAAGTTCTATATTTTCAGCAGTGTTTTTTTTTAATCTTTTGAATAATTTTTCTAGGGA